CCAATACAAAATTTTAAAATTTAAAAGAATTATACCCTTTGGCCAAACATTAAGAACCTTACAACTAAAACCCATTAAACAATTAAAAAATCTAATATCTCAAAAATGGGGGGGGGGGTTCACGCCAGCCCTGCTTGATGGAAGAAAAAAGTTTTTAGGGCACGGCGAAAAGCCCGGAGATCTGATATCCTCTGTATCTCTGGGGGCAAATCGTTCCAGAGGGCAGGTGCTGCCACAGAGAAGGCCCTCCCCCTGGGGGTCGCCAGCCGACACTGCCTAGCTGACGGCACCCTGAGGAGTCCCTCTCTGTGGGAGCGTACTGGCCAGTGGGAGGCTATTAGCGGCAGAAGGCGGTCCCGCAAATACCCAGGTCCGATGCCATGGAGCGCTTTAAAGGTGGTAACCAGTACCTTGAAGTGCACCCGGAAGTCCACCGGGAGCCAATGCAGCTCGCGCAGGAGAGGTGACACATGGGAGCGCCCTCTCGCTCCCATAATCCCCTCCGCAGCCGCATTCTGCACCAGCTGGAGCCTCCGGGTGCACCTCAAGGGGAGCCCCATGTAGAGAGCATTGCAGTAGTCCAGGTGGGAAATGACGAGTGCCTGAGTGATTGTGCGTAAGGAGTCCCGATCCAGAAAGGGACGCAACTGGCGAATCAGGCGAACCTGATGAAAAGCCCCCCTGGCCACGGCCATCATATGCTCTTCTAAAGACAGCCGTGGATCCAGGAGGACACCCAAGTTGCGAGCCCTCTCCGTGGGGGCCAATAACTCGCCCCCAATAGCCAGCGATGGCGCCAGCTGGCTATATCGGGACGTCGGAAGCCACAGCCACTCGGTCTTGGAAGGGTTGAGTCGAAGCCTGTTACTCCCCATCCAGATCCGCACGGCCTCCAAGCACCGGGACATCACTTCAAGGGCATCGTTGGGATGGCCTGGGGTGGAGATGTACAGCTGAGTATCGTCAGCGTACTAATGGAATTCCACCCCAAAGCCACGGATGATCTCGCCCAGCGGCTTCGCATAAATGTTGAACAGAAGGGGTGAGAGGACCGATCCCTGCGGCACCCCACACACAAAGCGCCTCTGGGTCGACCTCTGCCCCCCTGCCAACACTGACTGCGTCCAGTCGGAGAGATAGGAGGAGAACCACCGTAGAACGGTGCCCCCCACTCCCAGCCCCTCCAACCATGATACCATGGTCGATGGTATCAAAAGCCGCTGAGAGATCTAATAGGACCAGGATAGAGGAGCAACCCCTATCCCGAGCCCTCCAGAGATCATCCACCAACGCGACCAATGCTGTTTCCGTGCTGTGCCCAGGCCTGAAGCCGGACTGGCGTGGATCCAGATAGACAGCTTCATCCAGGTACCCAGGCAGCTGTCATGCCACCACACTCTCAACAACCTTCGCCATGAAGGGAAGGTTGGAGACCGGACGATAGTTAGCTGAAACAGCCGGATCCAGAGCAGGCTTCTTGAGGAGGGGCCTCACCACCGTCTCTTTCAAGGCTGATGGCAAGACACCCTCACCCAAGGAAGCATTGATAATACCCTGGAGCTAGCCTCGCGTAACCTCCCGGGAGGCCAGTACCAGCCAGGAGGGACACGGGTCCAATAAACATGTGGTCGCATTCAGCCGCCCCAGTATCCTGTCCACGTCCTCGGGAGCAACAGGATCGAACTCCTCCCAAATGACATTCTCAAGACTGGCCTCCATCATCCCGCCTGTACCTACCCAGTCGGAGACCAGGCTTTCCCGAATCTGAGTGATTTTATCATGCAGATACTGAACAAAATCCTCAGCATGACCCTGCAAGGGATCCTCCCGCGCTCCCGAATGGAGGAGGGAGCGGGTCACCCTAAACAGGGCGGCTGGACGATTATCTGCCGATGCGATAAGAGCGGAAAAATAATTAAATTTTGCCGCTTTTATCGCCACTAGGTAGGTCTTAATATAAGCTCTTACCTGTGTTCGGTCAGATTCGGACCGGCTAGACCTCCAACTGCTCTCTAGGTGTCTTTTCCGGCGCTTCATCTCCCTCAGCTCCTCAGAGAACCAAGGAGCCAAGTAGACTCGGCGATGGGTCAGAGGCCGCAAAGGCATGACTTGGTCCAAAGCACCAGCGGCCGCCCTATCCCAGCGGCCACCAGTTCCTCGGCCGAGTCATGAGTCAGAGCCTCAGGAAATGGTCCAAGCTCCATCTGGAAACTATCAGGATCCATCAGGCACCTGGGGCAGAACCATCTAGTTTGTTCCACCTCCCTGCGGCGGAGTGTAGCGGTTAGAAAGTCAAGCCTAAGAAGGGAATGATCTGACCATGACAAGGGCTCTATCTCTACTGCCCCTATCTCGAGATCATTCATCCACTGCCCAGAGACAAAAATCAAGTCCAGAGTGTGCCCTCCTGTGTGAGTACGTCCATGAATTAACTGGGTCAGGTCCATGGCCGTCATGGAAGCCATGAACTCCCGAGCCACCTCAGACGTTTCGCTGACAGATGGCAGGTTGAAGTCCCCCATGACCATAAGCCTGGGGGTCTCCACCACCACCTCAGCAATCATGTTGAGTAGCTTGGGCAGGGTAGCCGACACGTGGCAGGGAGCCAGGTAGGTAATCAGCAAACCCATCTGCCTCCCTTGTCCCCACTTTACCCGGAGAGACTCACATCCGGCTATCTGAGGTGCAGTGACCTCTCTTGGGATGAGACCCTCCTTCACAAGAATCGCCACCCCCCTCCCCTCCCCTGGGCCCTTGGTTGATGGAATGCACAGAAACCTGGTGGGCACATCTCAACGAGGGGGACCCCCTCTCCTGGCCCAGCCAGGTCTCCGTAATACCTACCAGGTCCGCACCCCCCTCCTCAGTCAGATCACAAATGAGGGGGGCTTTATTTATCACGGACCTGGCATTGCACAACATCAACCGTAGGCCCTGGGCCTGAGGGTCTGAACAACCCAGGGAGCGAGAAGAGCATTGGGGGCCGGAGCACGCAATCACTCGCAAGTAGCAAGTGCGTCCTCCCCTAACACGATGTGGCCCCTACTCCCGCCATATCTGCCCCTCCCACCCACAATGCCGATGGAAACACCCTCCTCCCTATAGGAACTAAGCTCCCCAACCCCCTCTGACACCTGTGGGTTGCCTCCCAAACCCACCCCGGTCGTACAAATTACATTTTCCCTCCCACCCCTTAAAAAATGAATTAAAAACGAATACAAAGCACTTTTAAAATCCCCAACACCTTCGTGCCACCTCTTGGGATCCCAGGACCCGTCTTTGAGGTACTTTTTGGCAAGACCAATAGGCCACTTCCAGGAATGGGGGGCATTCCTCAAAGCCCATAAGTCCGATCTTGCATATAGTCGCGGAGCCATAACAACCATGGAAGAGGGTGCGACAAATGGCAAACAGAAGATGTGGATAGTGGACTGGGAACTGGTTAAAATTCTCCCAAACGTAAGGAACCTCCTCACCCAGGCATCCCCTCACAACACCTGGGTGAGGCATAGCTGGTAATTACCGTTGTCCTCACACCACGACGGCATCCTGAACGTCAACTGGGAGTTCTGTCCAGCGGTTTTCTCAGCCCCTGCAGAGCTCCCACCTCTGCATGGCCAGTTCGATGACATAGAACCACCACTGCCCTCTCATGGCAGTGGGAGTCCCCGCCCAGGACAAGCCAGTTCCATGGAGGAAGTAAAACCAGCGCCCTCACAGCCGTCCAAGTCTGAGTTCCATCTCGCTGGTCCTGGGCGGAATCCCCAGATGGACTAAATGGGGCCCAAGGTCTAATGTCCCCTCTCGGGGGGGTAGAGAAGTCTTGTGGGGTTACTACCCTCCAAAGACCCCTCTTGCCCAGGGAGTGCCCAGGAAACATAATGGGCACAGCTAATACAGCTCCAGTGGGTAATCTCAGCGGCAACCAGCAGAGGGCAGAGGCGGTCCCTTGATGTTCCATGGGTACAGCAGGCCTCACAGTCGCCTTCAGCATCAGCAGAACAAGGCCCGGGGCAGCAAGCCGCCTCCAACTCCCTTCGGCTCCGCCCCTCCAGCCTTCGTTATTTCTAACTCTGCTCAAAGTTCTTGGAATCCATAGTAAAGCTACTATTCTGAGTTGCCAGAATGGCTGCATCTGAGTTGCCAGACTCCTGAATTTTGATCATGTGGGGGCGCTGCAAGGGTTGTAACTTTGGAGACTGGACATGAGTGCTACTCCTTCAGCATCATCGCTTTGAATGTTCACTGAATGAATCAACTTAACTCAAGAACTATCTGTACTCAATATCACAATGCATATAAAATACACCTATTATCAGGAATCGCAGGCCTACATGTCCACACATGAAAAAGTTCATTTAAAACGTACACATTTCCGTATTGACTTTTATCTTTAAAAATCAATATCAAAATAAACTGGATTTGTGCTGGAAAAAATGTATATTACAAGGATAGATTTGTAACTTCCTTCATTCCAGTGGAAAAAAAGGGGGTATTTGTCTAGATCTTGACAGAATAATACTGCAGTTGAAGCTAGGAAAGTACTAAATGGAGAGAAAAACAATACAAAGCAGTCCTCAGAATTACAATGTTATACTTTCTTAAAGTGGTGTTACATATCTTGAAACTGTAATTACATCCATTCATTAGTCCATTTGAATGTTAATATTTATTAATATTTTATTTTGTCATTTATACTTGGTTGTATAGAGTCACCCCTTGGCAAGATGGGCAGCATACAAATTTAACAAATGATTTGTTACAAGCAAAACACTTTCTGGGAATGTTATTTGGTATTTGCTGTTAAGCCCTCAATTCATTGTTTTTTTAATTGTGTGTCAGGGTGTGGAGGTGTGTGTGTGTGTGTGTTTATACATGCACACGTAATCACTCAGAATTGCTTTTTATTTGGGCAGCCTATAAATGCAATAGATACATAGGTAGATAGATAGGTCATTATGTGGACAAATATCAATTCCAGCTCCTTGGTATATTTGTAGAGCAACTGCTGCAAGGAGAAAGCTTTGTATACCATCAGCATTTTTGAGATCTTGAAAGCAGAATGTATGCTGTCCATACAAGCAGTGATGTTCACGTGATCTCCAGGAACAGCTAGAAATGAGGATGAATGTCATAGCTGCAGAGGCCAATTACCAACTTCCTTCCACATCACTCGTATTTCAACCCATCAGTCTTTCCAAAGCAGTATGAAAAAGAAGCTTTCACTTCTCCTGACAACATGAGCCAGTGAATCCTCATTTTATTCCTTTCCAGCTGACCAGGAGAAGAATGCAAAGAGCATCATCCAATCAATATTATGCTCCCTGAGCTATCATGGATTGTGAAATACCAATCCCCTCATTTCCCCCTCCCTCCACACTAAAGCAAAACAAAATAAATAGCTAGAACTACCCTTTTGCATTTGTATGCATTTTTGCCCTCTGGTTTGCAAAAATAGCTGAGAGGTTGCTGTGATAAAAAGCTAAGGAAGGGAAGGGCCATTTGTAAAGTACATGTAAACAAAAACCTTGAAATCCTGCAAAGGCTTATTGGTTGCTCTGCTTTCATTCCTCTATTGCATTTGACATTTTTGAAGGTGAAATATCCCAGCATCTTCCTAGTGCTTCCATCGGATAAGTGCTAAACCATGCCTACAGGAAGAGACAAGCACCAGAAACAGGATGCTGAATGTTTCTCTGAGGGCATGTGTCTTGGAGAGACATTGACTGATTTGAGCTAAGAGGCTGGAAGGAAGAGTATATCAAGAATGCACCCCAGTGAGAAAGCCAAACTCTCCCAACGGTTATAGATGCAGCAATTCAGAAGAGAATGCCAGCTTTACTATTCCAGGATGTTTGAGCAGAGTTAGAAATAAATGTGGCTCAGTTTCCTAAAGGAGTGTGAGGTCAACAGACAGACCAGAAGTGGTGCAAAGCATGGCTGATGTGAAACCCATGCTCTGTTTCTTTCTCGCATTAGGCAAGAACATTAGGCATGAGAAAAATGCTCCTATTCCTTTGTAGGTATTAAGCATGTTTAATAAAAATTACAGTCAGGAGAAAATGGAGTCACATTTTTCTCTCCTGGTCCAGATAGCATTTGCTTTCTCTTGGATATCAGGGTTGTTTAGAAGCTGTTAAACTCTGAGTTGAACTGCTTGCTTACTTATTTGTTTGCTTGTTTATGAAAATTTATATGGCCACCCAACCAGTGGTGGGTTTCAAAATTTTTTACTACCAGTTGTGTGCGTGTGGCTTGGTGGACGTGGCAGGGGAAGGATACTGTAAAATCTCCATTCCCACCCCACTCCAAGGGAAGGGTACTGTAAAATCTCCATTCCCTCCCCAATCCAGGGGAAGGTTACTGCAAAATCCCCATTTCCTCCCAATCAGCTGGGATTTGGGAGGCAGAGAATAGATGGGGATGGGGCCAGTCAGAGGCGGTATTTGCCAGTTCTCCACTCAACTCAACTCTACTCAAAATTTCTGTTATTGGTTCTCCAGAACTGGTCAGAACTTGCTGAAACCCACCTCTGTACCCAACTCACTTTCAATAACTAAATGGCTTAGAAGGATAAGAGCACAATATAAGGACAATAAAAAAGCCATCACCCCACCCTCCATCCCCAGTTACAACAATTAAATAAGCCACTTGACAGGTTTCCTCCCATTCTGGGGTCCCCAGTCCTTGAAAGAATGTCATAGTATGTATTTACTTGTGTAATTTCCTAGTAATTCCTTGGGTGTCCACCCACACTTGGCCAATAAAATATTCTATTCTGCTCTGCTCTGCTCTGCTCTGCTCTGCTCTGCTCTGCTCTGCTCTGCTCTGCTCTGCTCTGCTCTATTCTATTCTCTGTGGGGATGATGTTCCACAGGGAGGGGGTCACCAGAGGGAAAGCCTTTTGTATCTCTTTAGGAGAGGGGATCCATACTATTCCCTGCCTTTCCATTGGTGAGTTGCATAGATGGGACCGGGGGTGGGGGGTGGGGTACGACCATCTATACAAGCCCAGGAAATGTATACATTCATCTTATATACTTAAATATATTACATGGAGATTTTTGCTTCTCCATGCCTACTATTTTAAAATCTAATTCCCACAGGACAGGGAGAACTTTTGTATAATGTTGAGCATGTGTGAGTTGTGTGTGGGTTTTGTGTGTAGCATGGATTGAATTTAAAATGTGAATATGTAGGAGTCTGTATATATGGTATGTGTATATGTATTTTACCCACACACTCCAGCCAGGTAGCTTCTGGAAGATTAGCTATGGAAAATATGAATATTTGTTAAAGTTCAGCTACTGTATTAAAGGTTTTTCAGTACTATCAGACTGTTTGAAAACTAATTAGCTCAGATACCTCATTTATCAATTACAGGAATGCATGCTTGTATCCTGAAATGAAAATAAAGCTATTTTTATTTATTAGTTATATAATACTTTTTCTTTGATGATTGAAAGTAGTTTGCACAACAACCTGTCCTCTTGTTATTTTTACAACCACAGTCTTATGAATTAGGTAGGCTTAGACCAGACTTTGACCTGGGTCTGCCTGTTAACTTATTTTAACACAGTGGATCTTTGCAATCTTCTTGTCAAACAGTTGTTGACAAGATGTATAAATCTAGGAAAACTATCTTATCAGTTAATGTTACATTGTTTTCTATTTACTTCCAGCCATTCAGTGAAACATCCTGTGACTTAATCTAAAGGTAGTTACTTTATCTTTTCAAGTTGAGATTTCAGGAGTCGCCAGATATCAAAGTTCATCCCAGACAGTTGGGATGAGACATTTCAGGTTAAGCATGATTTGTAAACTTCGATCTGGCATTGTATTTTATTAACATTTGTCTATTTTCTAAAAGCACTCCGTAAAATTAAGCAGGAGGTATAAACAATGGAGATTATGTTGATTGAATTCAGGTAGTGAATTTTAAATTTTAAATTATCGAGATAACATAAATACATTCATGAATGTGGACCATTCTTTTACAACCAAGGCTATAAGATAACAAAATTTAAATACTTTCATATTATTTATCAGGATATATGTTTACTATTGAAGTAAATGTTTTGTATTTTATATCTTATTTTCCAGGGAGATGAATTTTACTTGCTTTGTAAAGTTACTTTTTAGTCAGTGCTGTGTGCACAAGTCCTTTATGGATAAGATATGAATCTCCCCTTACTGGGTTTCATGTAGATTCTGATGGGAAAACACCATTCTTCACTTTACATGCTCTGATGTAACAAACTGTATTTGATTTCATAGCATCTTCCTACCTTCTGTAAGAACAAGCAGAAGAGAACATCCGATCTTTCAAATCAAAGTGTTGTTTCTTTTCAGTTGACTGCACTTTACAATCCTACATACACTTGAATGCCATAAAGCTTTTATTAGGCTAATGGAAGTAGCAAGAGGCAAAGGAGAGCAATTGTACAGAAACCTTAGCATGTGATTTGAAAGTGCACCTTGGCTCAGAGATGAGAGAAGTAAAATATTGTGCCCTTCAGCTAATAATCTAGGATTCTATTATCATTCAACTCTAGAATGAATTATTAGTAACGTGCAACTGGGATTATTCTAGCAGCAGCTCCTATCGTACATCCAAAAGCTGACACTTAATTATGTTGTCCCACAGTAGATCAAGTTTTACAACAGCAACAAAAGATTAAAGCAGCCTTAAACTGGGGACATTCAGAGGATAAATAACATTGTATTACAGAGGGGAGCAGCAGTCAGATGTACCATCATCTGGGAGAGAAAACATGCAAGTGCTATTAATATTTAAAAACCTTTTAAGTTTTTTTTTCAAAGAAAAAAAAACCTTGGTAACATTTCTAACAAACTGATTATCACTCCATAGTGAATTTTAGTATCTATAGATGCACTAAGTGGCATCACAGGAGCAATTAACATGGGCAGAATAATGATTTCATTTGTTTTCAAGAATTCTTCAAAAATTAATAAACAACAAAAGCATATTGGATTCAGCTAACAGATATTTTTTTAAAAAAAACAATGCTTCAATCTTTGCTATGCAATATTGCAGTCGTTATAACCTCTGTGATATTTATTGATTAAATGTGTATATCATTTGATGGATTCTCAATCAGACTTTTCTCAGCATCAATACAAAACTCAACATAAATTAAAACATCCACATAACATAAATTAACTCTTGTAATATAAATTTAAAAAATTACTGGTAACCAGTCACAAAAGTAAGTGGCATTAACCAAGTCCACATACTTTCCGGAAAAGTTAAGTCTCAATTTGTTTCTGGAAGTTATCGTATGAAACTTTTGAAGTTAGACTGGCCACTATCATTGAGAAGTGGCACCCATAAGCTTCCGATTCTTTACCTCAGGTTCTCCTGGGAAGATCTTCTTGTATGTGCTGATGGTGAATGGAGTAATTAGGTGGCCAGTCAAAATCAAAACCAGCATTCTGAAATAGACTTGGAGTCCTGCTGGTAGCCAATATGTGTCCATGTGCAATGTGCTCATGGCAAAGATGCTAGATACAGCTGTTTATGGGTGATCTTCAAAGACAGTACTGTGTATAGCATATTTTAGTAGTACAGATGATTAGAGATTAGGGCATGAATCACTCGCACAAAATAGGTAGGACTACACCTGAGTCAGGGGTGAAATGTAAAATTCGTTACTACCGGTAACAAATTTTCGGCTGAAGAGGTTGCAAATAATTGCTTTGAAAAGCCTCTGCCAATCAGGCAATTCAGCTGGGATCATCAGAGAGGCTTTTTTAAAAATGCTTTGAAAAGCCTCTGCCAATCAGGCAACACAGCTGGGATCGTCAGAGACTTTTCAAAACATTTTTTTTTACCACCTCTTTAGCTGAAGAGGTTGCAGAAGAAAATGTTTTTAAAAGCCTCTGACGATCCCAGCTGAGCTGTGCGATCATCAGAAGCTTTTTTTTTTTTTTACTTTTAAAAGCATTTTTTCGTTGCAAGAGGTTGTAGAAAAAATGCTTTTAAAAGTTAAAAAAAAAAAGAGCCTCTGATGATCGTGTGGCTCAGCTGGGCATGGTGGTGGTGGGGGGGGCACAGGGATTTTTGCTACCGGTTCTCCGAACCACCCGATTGGGCGATCCGGTCCGAACCGGGAGCATTTCACCCTGACCTGAGTTTTGACAGGAAATCTCATGAATTCTTAACTCTGGCAGGACTGTATTCTTAAAATTGGTGGTAAAACCTTTTGCTGGAAAGGAGAGTTGCAAAAGGGCATAATTACATTGGATCAATGGCTAGTTAATTTTTTTTTTAGCAACTGCAAACCTTTTCCCTCTTTTCCTCCTGATGCACCATTTAGGATAACAGGCACCCATGAGAAACAAGCATCATGTAAAACATATTACATTCTTGAACCATATTTTAATCAAA